GGGGCCGCGAGCCCCACCGTCATGGCTGCCGCGGGCCGGGACGGGAAGGGGCCGGGCCGGGCCGCACGTGCATGATGACACTTAAGAAATGCTGTGATCACCCGAGTGCGCAGTGGGGGAACCAACCTTGGAGAGCTGAGCGTGCGGTCGCCGGCGCGGGGCGCTGGGCTGGCGGTGCCCTGGCTCCGGGTGCCCTGGCTCAGGCTTCCACCCTCTGCTCGCACACGTAGGCATCTCTCGGGACAACTGGCACAAGCGCCGCAAGACCGGGGGTAAGAGAAAGCCCTACCACAAGAAGCGGAAGTATGAACTGGGACGCCCCGCGGCCAATACCAAGGTGCGTGCGGGGGCGACTGGATCTTTGCGGGGCTCTGCGTTTTGTTGTAGGGACTGCGTAGCCTCTTCACCTTTTCGTGTTGACTAAATACTAAGACTGCACGGACACAGCCTCTTTGTCCTGGTAGCAGCTGAAGGCGCCTGAGGGGAATGGGCTCAGAATAGAAACCTGGTATTCTTGTTGCACGGAGACTTAATTTTCAGCGTTTGGAATCAGGCTTTTCCTCTTAGAGGTAACTGGAGTGATGAAGAAGTATCCTTAGGCGTGGTTGTGGCCGTCTTGGTCACTTGTGTGCCACTTGCCAATGCTAGGACTTGTCATAGTTACACTGACTGTTACCTCCATCCAGCCCGGTTTCCTTCCCTCTCATCTTGCTCTCTCTGATAACCTAGTTCCCGTCTCCTTGTGTTTTCTAGATTGGCCCTCGCCGCATACACACAGTCCGTGTGCGGGGAGGCAACAAGAAGTACCGGGCCTTGAGGCTGGACGTGGGGAACTTCTCCTGGGGCTCCGAGTGTGAGTGAGCCCCTCCAGGCTTGGGTGGGAACTCAGCACCTAAACCTTTCTAAGCTTCAGTAAGTCTTCAGTAAGTGCTTTTAGCAGGAAGTCCATGGCCTGGATACTGAAGTTTCTTCTGCGGAAAGACCTTGAGGTTGTGGAGAGTTCTCTCCATCCTGTCCTGCCTCTTAACTCTTGTAGCCTCAGGGATTGGGGCTGAATCTAGAGAATGTGGTTGCCAGTCACCTCTGGAAAGATGGGTTTATGGAAGATGAGCTGATTCCCCATGGCTGGGTAAAGGCTTAGAGTTTCTTTCTCCTTAGGCCCTACTAGGGTGAGGGCGGTGGGCAGCTGGCCTCTGGTCTACATGACTTCATTCTGGGGGGAGGGTATAGCTCAAGTGGTAGAGTGCATGCTTAGCATGCATCCCCAGTATCTCCTCTAAAAATAAACCTAATTACCTTCCCCCTGTCGAAATAATTTAGTAATACAATAAAATGTAGAAAAATTAAGATGAATACATGACTTCATTTTGAGTTTCTCTTGAGCAGGCTGTACACGCAAGACAAGGATTATAGATGTTGTCTACAATGCATCCAACAATGAGCTGGTCCGCACCAAGACCCTGGTGAAGAACTGCATTGTGCTCATTGACAGCACACCGTACCGACAGTGGTACGAGTCCCACTATGCACTGCCCCTGGGCCGCAAGAAGGGGGCCAAGCTGGTGCGTGCTTGGGAAGCCAACTTCCCTGTTGGGGTGGGGGGAGGCCGACCTGATTCCAGCCTTCTTGTGATGAAAACTGTCCAGTTCTGCTACTGAAGGGAGAGATGAAAGCCTTTAGTGCTGAGGAAGGCGGCAGGGAGTTGGGGTGTGCAGGGTTTGACATTCCTTCCCTGAGCTAGGGTTTGGGGGAGCCCTTGCTTACCTGTCTGTATTTCTTTTATTCAGACTCCTGAGGAGGAAGAGATCTTAAACAAAAAACGATCAAAGAAAATTCAAAAGAAATATGATGAACGGAAAAAGAATGCCAAAATCAGCAGTCTTCTAGAGGAGCAGTTCCAGCAGGGCAAGCTTCTTGGTGAGATGGCTTTTGCATTTAGGGGAGTGGGGTGGGAGGGTCCCAAGATACGATGTGCCCTCAGTGGTGTAGTGGGTTCACTAGGAGGATTTGATAGCAGCATACAAGCACAAATCAGAATGTTTGATCATCCTGTTAGTATGAAGCCAAAATGTAAAATAGGCAGGAGCCCATGGGCTGGGGCTTAGCCTCTGCCTCTGAGTTTTCAGGAGTATTTTGATTAGTCTGGGTCCAGGCTGAGGGGTTGTCTCAGTGATGAAAACTTTGTCCAGTTCTGCTACTGACTTTCAGTGACGATAAAGTATATCTGAGCAGACAGTGGGCTTCATGCCTGCCCCCAGGATACCTGGACCAACATAGACACTTCAAGGGATACATAGATGTGGGTAAGGCCACACTGTCCTTTTGCTAAGAACCCACCCTCTCTTGCAGCATGCATCGCTTCAAGACCGGGCCAGTGTGGCCGAGCAGATGGCTATGTGCTAGAGGGCAAGGAGCTGGAGTTCTATCTGAGGAAGATCAAGGCCCGGAAAGGCAAATAAATCCTCCCTTAACCCCTGTAATAAAGGTGTTTATTCTGTGTCCTGTGTTTGTGTTCTTGGTAATATTTGATTGCCTGGCACACTAGAGTGCCCCAGTTCCCTCTCACTGAAGGTCAGGTCTATTACGTGGGGACTATTTCGGTAGCAGGAGAAACATTTCTCTCCCCAAAGGCTGGGTTTCATTGGCAACAGATGTAGTATGAGGGCTGAGCAGAGGGTATATGAGGGAGGTGTCCCCAGCACAGGTAACCCCAACTGTATTGGGTGTTGACTAGACCATGATTGGAACCAGAAGCCATGCTTCCTCTGTAAAGCTCTCTTGGGGTTCTTGTATGTGTTTCCTCTGTAGACCTTGGTTTTAAGGTTTAGTAATGTTTTCAACATGGGTTCATGGATGGCCTAGAAAGAAACATTGAAATTGTGTTCCAAATTTCTTCATTGTTGAGAGCAAGTTAAACATACATACCTGTACCTTGTCTGCTTTTGAATGGCTTTCTGAAGTTAATTTTTTCTTGAGCCCTATTCCCTAACCCTCTAACTAAAATGTAAGATTACCACTGTTGTGTTGCTTAATCTCTTAAGGATCAGCTGTCTTCATACCACTGCTTAAATCAGTTTGCTCTTGGGTCATCTTGATTCTTTTAACTCCCACATCTAACATCACCAAATCTGAGTTTGACTTTTACTACCGTCTCTATACTGTTCTGGTCCCTTTTTTTGCCTATTTCCTCTCCCTGCTACTTCTGTTGACCCTAACACAAAGTTATAAGTGATCATTTTAGAAGGTCAGATTTTTTTGACACCATCCCATCCCAAAATTTTTACCAGGTGCTGTGACTCTCAATAGGACCTGGTCCCTTCTATAGTGACTACCATCTTGGCCTTGCTAACATATATACTTGTTACTCCCTTTGTTGGGAACACTTTCCTTCATATATATATATATATACACACACACATACATATATATTCACACACATACACAAAAACACACACACGGCTTACTAAGGTCTTTGCTGTCAAGCCTAGTGTGTTCTTCCCTAGTCAATATTTTTTTCATCTGATCACAGAATTTTAAATTGCATTCCCTTCCATGCCACAACCTTTGCCCCTGTTTTTTCTCCTTATCCCTTAATCTAGCATAAATTTTGCTCATTTTATTTGCTTTTTTGCCTCCTTTTAGAATATATCTCCAAGAAAACAGGGATACTTGTTTCCTCCTTTATCTGGGAAAAGAATATGGTAATATACCAGGCACTCATGTGCTAAATGAGTTCTCAAAAATTTTAACCAGTTTAGAGTTGTACATGTCTTAAGAGCTAAAGAAGTACAAAATCCAATTTGTTTAGTTTGGCTAAATTGTAGACTGAATAAGCAATTGGGAAAGGTAAATGAGATAAACCTTTTCTAGTACAAAACCTTAAGGACAGACATATTAGCCCAACCCTCTGAAACCTTGTAATTGGCTCTGGGGAGACCTAGCCTCCATGTTTCTACCCAGTGATGTTCCTGTACCACCTGAACATTAGGTAATGTTTGCTGAGAGCTGTGTGTTGGGCTTGCCAAGTAACACTGCCTTTATTTTCTAATTTGAGATCTGCAAGGTGTTGATCTTTATTCCTTTCCTCCATAACTTCACCCCTACTCAATCCATAGGACCAGTGGGTTCTTTAAAGATCCTTGAATCCATCCACTGTCACTACTGCCCTAACAAATGACCATTCTTACCCTGGAGCAAGGCTACCTTCCCTGTAATCTTTTTTTCCCTTGGGAGAGGTAATTGGGTTTATTTATTTTACTGAAGGTACTGGGGATTGAACCCAGGACCTCGTGCATGTTAAATACACGCCCTACCACCCCTCTGTAAACTCAGCAGAACACCTCAGGTCCATTCAGAATGGATGGCCATCACCAGGCGCTTTCACATTGTAGATCTGTCAGTAGTGCCAGAGGCTGCGTGTCCTCTCGACCTCTACCTCTGCTCTTTCATGCCTCCCTTCCGAGTTCTGGCATTTGTCTTCCTTTGGCCCTCACATTCAGTTTTGGCATTCACCAATTTCTTTAGCAGAGGCTGAGGAAGAATCTTAGAGAAACTTGAGTTTAGCAACAACTCCAATCTAGAGCTCTGTGGGGCTGTCTTCCACAAGGCCCCTCTCACCACCATGGAGATGGACCTGCAATTTTCACCCCTTAAATTGTCCTTTCTCCGTGTTTGGTGGAAGCAGAGAAGTGTTTGCTCCAAATGCTGGAAGTCTAGGCTGGGTAGTGTATGACTGCTTTCACATCTCAGTTTAATCAGCTTCCAGGGCAGACTCCTAAACCTCATCTTTATCCCACTGCAGAGCATGCCAGTCCAGTTTTAAGCAATTTTAATTGCATAAGTAGTAAATGAATATATTCTCATTGTAAACAAAAACTTGAACATGACAGATCAAGCAAAAGTCCCCCAGCACACACTTTGACCCCTCTTCAGAGTGAGGTTATCAGAATTATCCTAAACATCTTTTTATGTATGACTCAAAAATTGTGATCCCTGAACCAGCAGCAGCACAGCCTGGGGACTTAATAGAAATGCACGTTCTTGACCTCCATCCCAGATCTAATGAATCAGAAACACTGGGAGTGGTACCCACCCAAAACTTTTCAACCAGCCCTTCAGTGATACTGATGTTCTCTCAAGTTTAAGA